GATAAAGAATAAATGGAAAATATGTATTGAATTAAAAGCAAAAGTTTTATAATAAAGTTATTTTATTGTTATTTGTTTTTTGCTTGTTATATGAAATGAAAGAAATATATAAAAAATGTTCGATAAACCAAAATGAAAAGTAGAATTAATTTTACTTCTTAGCAAAGACAGCTTGGATGAACAATTCATATCTGATTTGGCCTTCTTGATTTTCAGCAACAGTTTTCAATTCACCAACTTCTGAAGTGGTACATCTTTCACCAATGTTTAATAAGGCTTCAGTTAATTCTTTTGAATCAATGACACCTTTTTCTTCTGGATCAAAAACCTTAAAAGCTTCTGTTAATTTTTGTTCAGTTGAAGCTGTTTTCATTTTTCCAGTCATCATATTGATAAATTCCATACATTCAATTTTCTTATCTCCATCAGCATCGGCTTCTTTGAAAGCAGCATCAAGGTCTTCATCTGTTACACGAATACCATTAGTTTTGAATAATTTTTTAACATCATCTTTATCTAAATATCCTTTTTTTGAGGAATCAAACATATCAAAAGCATCCTTTAATTCACCAACAAGTTCTTGATCAACTTCTTCGTCTCTTCTTCTTGACATCTCTAAATTTTAGAGTTCTTTTTTTAAGTTTTTATATTAGTACTTTCTTTTATTCTTGCTTTTGTCTATCTTTAGTTTATTCTTACTCCATACTTATTTATTAATTTACTACTAATCTTTACTATTCATTTTACTATTTATTATATGATTAGATATTCTCAACGTTTTTAAGTTCTTGATTTTTTATTTTGAGTTTTTCATTCTTTCTTCTCTCCTTAAATTTTTTTTGTTTTCTTTATATTCATTTTTTATCTTGAAGAGATAAAAATTGTTTTTAATTACTTTTCAATAATAACAGAAAAACCATATTAATAGTTGAGATTTTTTACTACTTTCCTTGTATTGGATAATCAACTAATTTACATATCTTCTTTTTTGTGAAAGTAAAACCATAAAAAGAAAAAGGGGTGAGTTGGATTTATGACCAGGGGCTGTTCTTATTATTTGATGGAGTAAAGAAGAAATTAAATCTGCTCTTTAATAGATAGAATGTCATTACAAATACTTTAGAAATATTAATAAGAAGTGCATGATATAAATAATATTTTTTCTTGTATATTTCAGTTATCAGACACTATAGAATAACAGAATTTTCAAGGTTATCAACTTGAATTAAATAAATTCTCATATAATTTAATAACAATAATTTTATTGTTTTTCAATTTTTGAATTTCTTTTTATTAATTTTAATATATTTCTTGTTTATAGGATAAAAAGAATATGCTTTATCACGACAACATTATTGCTTAATGAATAAACTAAAAATAATAAAAGAAACAAACTATGACTGAGTCAATGATTTGGTTAGTTATTTTGTAACTTTTGGTTTTTGTTTTAACAGTAAGAGAATTATTGATTAAATTAATTCTATACTCTTCAAAATTATATCGGTAAAATATAACTATATTCAATGCAGTAGTTATTTTAAATAAATGTAAAATGTATTTAAAATATATAGTTTATTCAGACAGTGAACGTTATTAATTAAAATCTTGTGAGTTACAAATTTTGATTTTATTGATGCTTGAATTAATTACTCCATATCTTGTTTATTATAATTATTATTAATAAACATTAATTGATGGAAATAACTAATTAGGATAGTTTTTATAGTGTAATTAAACTTTTTGACTTGATAATAAATGATTGTCTTTATTTATCTATGAAATAAAACATATTTCATTGTATAGAAAATTTGAATGTCTTAACTCAAGATGCAGAAGTACACTAACTTTTTTTATTAGTAAGGTTCGATACAAATACTTGGATTGATCTAAATTAAATCATTGGTATTATCTTGGTTTTAAAAGCGTTAAGACGTAAAAATTAATAAGGGGTATGTTGGTTGAATAATAATTAGTGTTTATGGTAAGTAGAAAAAAGAGTAATGAAAGCTTAATGGCATTAAGTTTAAAAGATTACGAAGAGTGGATTAATGCAATAGATTAAACTAATTTAGAGATTTGTCATAACGGAAAACAACAATTTAATAATTCTTTCCTTAATGTTTATCATATTAAAGTTAAGAGATAAAAAGAATTTTTGGGGCTTTTCAATTAATTATGCATTTGAAATAGATATAAGTGACTCTTTTGATCTTTAAAACAACTAAAAGATAGCAACCAATTCAAAAGTAAGTATAATTGAAGTTGTAGTACGACTAATAGACTATGTCATAAACCTATTTAACTTTACAAGAAACAAAACCTTAGTTGTTAAAGAGAAGTGTTTATGAAACTAATCAAAAAAGAGGTTACTGTTAATCTTCAAATCCTTATCTGAAATAAGAAAAAATAAAGAAGTTTATCATTCATTACCCATTCAAAGTTTCAATAAAAAAGACTAATTGACACAGTGAAATAGTTAATGAAATAAGACAAATGATTTAATGATTTCTTTTGTCATTATTTCTTCTGTTTTTGTCTTTTTCAAAAAGAGAAAAAAGTTCTTCAGAAAGGCAAACAATGCAAACGCCTCCATATCTTGTAGGGGTAACTGGAATACAAAACCCTGTAAATAGCACTCAAGTTGTTAGCATAAACCTTACACCACAAACTATAACAGATTATGGTATCTCTAATTTACATGTAAAAATAAATAGAGACCTAAATGATTCTCAATCTGAACTAAAACCCATCCTTCCTTCTTTAGACACATTCCAATCAGCATCAAGTCCAATAAAAGAGATTAAAATTGAACAACGTCCTTCTGTTCAAAAAATTGAAAGTGAACAAAAAATTACACAAACAAATGAAGGAGAAAATAAACCAAAAAACGAGGTAGTAGAAGCTATAAAAGAAGAAGAGTTTAGTTATGAACATAACGAGGAAAATGAAACAAATCCTGAACAAAAAGAAACTGATGTAACTAAAAAATTGATAAAAAAAATAACAAAAAGAAAAAAGAAAGTAACAAAGAAGGATAATCAAGAATGTAAAGAACAGGACAATAACCACATAATAAATGAAGAACAAAACGAACGTAGTACAGAAGACATAACCAAGACAAAGAAAATAGCTAAAAAAAGAATTGTAAAAGCAAAAACCATTCAAAAAGAAGGAAAGGAAGAAGAGAAAGAGCAAAATGAAATGAAAGATAATACTGAAACGAAAACAAATAAAGAAAAGAAAAAACCTAAGAAGGTAGTAAAGAAAGAAGATAAAAAAGAAATTCAAAAAATGGATGAACTTTGTGTAAGTAAACAAGAAGAAAAAAAAATAAATGAAATAAAAACAGAATTACACAGTGTTGATGATAAAGGAATTGTTGAAAAAATAGGTCAAGAAAATATAGAAAAAACGAAAGAATTGTTAAAAGAAGAGATTAAACAATTAGAAGTAAATGAAACAGCAAAACGAATTAAAGAAACAACAGAAAATGAATCTCTAAAGAAAAAACGAATTAATCCACAAATTGTAGATCCAAAAGAAATACAACAAATTGAAGAAGAAAATATCAAAGAGGAAGAGAACGTCCCAAAAGAGATTAAGCTAGTAGAGCCTATGGAAGAAGAAATTCAAGACTTAGACATTGCACAAGGGCTTGACTCTAGAATGTTTTCTATTGATATAGAAATAGGAAAAGATAAACAAATTCATGTTGACAAAGAATTTAAGAAATGGTTAGAACAACAAAATATTAGTATGTACGGAGAAGGATGGGCAGCCAAGTTTAAGGAAGAAAATGATGAAGTAGATGTAAAAGGTGTTGAAAATGAAGAAGAAGAGGAAGAGGATTCAGAAACTATTGATACTAATAAAGAAGACATCATAGGTGAAGAAGAAGATTTTGAAGAAACAAGAAAAAAAGCTGAGGAAAGAAAAGGACGAAGAGAAAATCCATACACTTCGGTCATTGGTAAGTTACAACAAAAGCTTTTTGTTCAAAAGAAATCAACAAGAGGATATGGTTATGATTTAGCCGACAATTTTATTGATGATGACTACGCCTATTCATTGCCTCGATGTACAGTTCGTCCTGAAATTCGTATTGAAAATGCTGAAAAGGTTCAACGGTTAACAGCTAAGAGGCAAGCACTTAAATTAAAGAAGGTTGAAGAAAAAGAAGAGAAAACCAATGAAGAACAAGAAAAAGAGACACTAAACGATGAGAATAGAAGCGAAGACAAAGAAGAAACAACTGGTTCTCAAGAAAAAAAAAAGAAAGGACAAAAAACCACTCTATAAAGAAGAAAAGGAGTAAACTGAGTTATATAATTGAAAATTGTTTCATCTCTTTTTTTAATAAAATTAATCATTATCAGAACAGTTATTAATTGAGTTTTATTAACATAGATATCTGACTTAACTATTGCTACAATAATAATTAATCAAATTCTTTTTAGGTTTCTTTTAACTAACCTATAAGTTATAACACATTCTAAGGATTGATTATTACCTATTAATGTCATACTTAACTTAGATTAGTAATAAGTGTTTTTATTTTATTAATACCTTTAAGGGATATCAGTTTAATGTTTAAACAAAGGGTAAACTTTAGTGTTAAACAATTATTTCATAAACTACTAATGATGAGGGTCTTGTCACAATTTTTGTAAATAAGTATTTATCTTAGTTGTTGTTTATTCATGACAAATGGTAATAAATAATGGAATAACACATTAGTTTATCAGGAATTTTTGGTTAAAATGATAAGACTTAAGAAAAATTACAAATTACTTAAAGAAAAGGGAATGAATTATTTTGTGTTAGTCCATTTCAACAGAAGTGAGTCATACAAAAATCAGCATTAACGTAATCTAACGCTTCTAAATAATCAGTAACAACTTCAATAAGAGTTATTGATTTTATTTGAGTTGGAATAATTTTAAATAATAAATGAGAATGAGGAGCAAGAATAAATAGCATTCGAACTTCTTTTTCTTCTGATTTAATAATGCCACCCTTCATATAACAATTATCGATTTTATTCTTTATTTCATCATAGGAAATGTCAAGAGGAATATTTGATTTATAAGCTAATTTATTCCATAACATTTCATATAATCCATTTGCAGTATTTTGTGTTTTCATAATTTCTAGTTGTGGTGAAATACAAATAAAATCGTCAAAGTTTAATTTAAGTCCTTCAGTAACGATATTTAATCTACATAAATCTGCATGTGAATCAGTAACAATAACGTATGGTTCAACACTCATTGAACATGGGTGTGGGGTATTTAATGGTAGTTCAAGCATTACTTTGTTAATATCTTCACCACCATTTCTTTGCAATAGTGGATGAATATATTTAATAGTGTTTGTTTTAATAGTTTTATAATTGTTTTGAATAGTAAATGTAAAAGGTACAACATAAAATTCATCATCAATAGATTGTGATGACTGGACATTAAGTTGCATTGGAATAACTAAACTACTTTCAGTTTTATTTAACATTTCAATATAATTGTCTGAATCAGTAGAAAGATTTCCAGTAATATTAATTTGACTCATTTGATTTGTTTCATTTCTTTTTAATATAACAACACCTTCACTTCGTTCTTCTTTTTCTTTTCTTTCAACTTCTTCTTCATCCTTGTTAATGACTCCTTTCATCTTTCGTATATCAATCCTTACAACACCTCCTCTTCCTGCAACACCATCTATCATTCCTTCAAAATCTTTTAAACTAATTCTCATTGCATCATCAGTACTATTTAGACAATGAATAAAACTATCTTTTTCAGTAGATGATTCAATATCTTCTGACAATAATTTTTGTAATTTACCAATACTAATAACAATTCTACCATCTTTACCTACTTCATTAATATTCTTTGATCCAACAAGGTCAAGGAAATCATTGGTTTTTAAAGTCATTTTTGAATCAGTTCCAATTAAAGGATAATTTCCATGAGTAAGTAATTTTTGCATCTTTTGAACAGACATGTGGTGTATACACCTTAAATAAAATAATGACCAATCTCTTAATAATGAATCTTTACTGTTGTCTTTTAACACAAGTAAAATTGTAATGATTCTATTTATATTACTTGCTAATTTTGAATCAATAGTTAAAATTAATGCTTTAATAACTTTAAAAACACAAGTGTATAAAGACAATGAATTGAATGTGAAAAACATTTTAGAATTGACAATCATTTGTAACTTATCAAGTACTAAAGAAAAATATGCTTCTTTATTAAATTGTAAAAGATAAATTAACATTCCACAATATAAATAATGAGATGGTATAGTCGTAATATTTTTCATTGCATAAGGTAACATTTCAATAATATTATTTGGGGTGAAGTTAGTACATTTTAATAATCCATATATTTTAATAATTAACATATAATTACTATCTTTAATTGTTGGAATAAAAAATTGTTTAGCAAATGGAGATAATATACCACCAATCATACTGTCATTATTACCTAAATTAATTAATAATGAAATAGCAGATAATCGAGTACTTTCTTTTATACTGAAATTACTACAAATATCCAATAATCTCATAACAATTGAATATCTTAAACGATCATATCTTCTTTGGTCATTAAAAGTATTTATCACATTTAACAATCCAAGTAATTGGGAAGGGTCATAACAATTTGTTAAATAACTAAATTGTGGAATATATAATGAATCTGGTGATAAAGCAGAACATCTAAAAATAATAGGAAAGAAAGTAGACAAATGAAGAACATCCCAATACCTACAATTCTGATATGTATCAACAACAACTGATAAATGTTGTTTTAAGAAAGTAGAAGTTTCAGTAAGTTGATCAGGAAGAACATCAAATAATTGTGGAACAGGGTCAATAAGTTGAGGAGCTGTATATAATTTGATTTGACTTGGATTATTATCTGATTGTGAAGCAAATGATGTAGGAGTTATTTTTTGATTAAATGAAATTATTGGAGAATAAACTGGATATTCATTAGCTGATTTTCCATTTTGTTCTACAATTAAACAATTTGATAAAATTGTTGAATATAATATTAAACATGGACTATCTGGTCCACTTGATCGTGTTAATTTTTCAATATAATCAATTGCTCCTTTTAATAAAGTAGGAAATGTCATTTCAAGTTCAATAAGAGTTGAAACAGCAAGAGATAATAATGACAATTCATTAAATTGAGTTAATCCAAGCATATCTCCTGCAAATTTAAAAAGGTTGGGAATTTTATTTCCGTATGTACATACTATTAATGTTTGTGCTTGAGTAACTAATTGTAATAGTGTTAACCCTCCTTGAGGAATACCATTAATTCCAGTTATTCCACCACTACAATAAATTGGAACTTTACCACTTAATAATTCAAGACGATACTTGTTAAGAATATCAAATATTTTTGTTATTAATGTAATATTTTCATTCTCTAAAATTCGACTAAGTATAAATTCATTAAAGTATCTCAATGTTGTGATGGCAAGAATTTCATTATTTTCTCCCCATATACTTTGAAAAAATTTAATAGTTGTTTCTGTAGAATTCCAATCAACAAGGTGATGTTCTTCGTTAAATGAAATTAGTTCTTCATTCCACTCACTTAATGTCTTTGGAAACAAATCAACACTTTGCATCTGTTTTCTTCTTTTTAAGTTCACTAATTTTTAAGTTTCTTATATCAATAACACAATTCTATTATTTTTATCTTTTGTTTTTTATCAAGAATATCAAAAAAGTAATTAGTAATATAATTAGATTTCTCAAAGGAATAAAGTAACAAGAACAAACAACTTGGAATCAAAAATTAATAAAAACTCCCGAATAATTCCACTAAGAAAGTTCAAATGGTGATGAATTTAAGAAAAACGTAAAAAAAAAGAGAAAAAACAAAATCAGGAGATATCTCAGCACAAAAGTAAAAAAAGAGATCTTCAAAAGACAAGATGTCTACTACTACTTCATCAAACCCAGAAACAGAAAGAATTATGAAAAAGTTCTCTAAATATGGAGAAATTAATGAAATATCTCAACAATATGAGCCAACTCCATATAAGAAAGTTGAAGCTGAACCTGTTGCTAAAGATTTATGGAATAATAATATTATTTGGGAATTTGCTAAAGGACTTTCTCCAGGTGTTGATTTAACAAGAATACCTTTCCCAGTTTGTATTACTCAAGCACGTTCATTCTTACAAAATTTCACTGATTATTTTGAACATTGGAATTATCTTAGTCTTGCTGCAAATGAAGATGATCCTTATAAAAGAACTAAATTAGTAGCACAATGGTACCTTTCTGGATTTGCACATGCTATGAAGGTAGTACGAAAACCATATAATCCAATTCTTGGAGAAGTTTTCCGATGTATGTGGGAAGATCCAAAATCAAAATCAAAAACACATTATATCGCTGAACAAGTCTCTCATCATCCTCCAATTTCTGCTTTTTATGTTTCTAATAGAGAAGATGGATGGATTGGTTCTGGAACTATTACTTTTTCAGTAAGTTTCTATGGAGTTTCTGCTTGGGCTTATTTAAATGGAGTTCAAAAAATTAAGTTATTAAAATATGATGAGGAATATACATGGGCATTCCCACCAACTAAAGCATCAGGATTTTTTGTAGGACCATTTATTATGGAAATGGGGGGAGTTGTAGAAATTAAATGTAACAAAAATCCATATTGGGCATCACTCGATTTTAAAACAACTTCAATGTTTTCGTCAGCTAATTTATACAAAGTTGAAGGTAAAATTATGAATGGATCAAAACAAGTCGATACTATTCAGGGTCAATATTTCGAGAAAATCACACTTAATAATAAGGATACTTTCTTTGATGCTAAGAATCCACCAGAATCACCAATTAGATATGAAGTTCCATTCGAAAATTTGTGGGGAAAAGAATCTCAGTATGTCTGGCAAGACCTTACTAAGGCAGTTATTAAAGGTGATGGGCAAGATGCAGCTGACAAAAAATATGAAGTAGAAGAATGGCAAAGACAAGAAAGAATTCAAGACCAAAAACAAGGAAAGATTTACGTTCCAAAGTTCTTTGAAAAAGTGAATGATACTACATATAAATATTTGTTCTATAATGAAGCACCATTCCAAAAAGGAGAAGAAGAAGCATATGAAATGGCTGGAATGATTATGTCAAGAAGAAAGCAGCTTTAATTAATTCTTTCCTTTTTTCTGTCAATTAAATTCAATAACTTTATCACAATTAAATAAAAAATAAGGTTTAAGATATTGTTGGAGTAAATTAATAAATTAAATCTTCTCTTAATTGATTGTTTTAATCAAATTTAACAGAAGTTTTATTTTTAAATTATATTTTTTATTAATTTTAATAATTTTTTCATATGGAAAGTTTTATTTCCATTATAATGCTATTTTATTCTTACGTACTCGTTATATTTCTTTAGGAAAAAAGAAATTAGCAAATTTAAAATCTAAGCATTAAACTTATTTGATAATTAAAATGAAAAAACAGATAAAATTCTATTAAACTTCTCTGCACAAACAATTCTTTTTTTTTTTAATTAAAGTAAGAAATTATTCTATAGGAAGTGTTGAGAAAGAATAAAAAAAAAGATAATGTTATTTTAGTAGTTTAATTAAGTCACTTAAATTCTTTTATAGTTCATATTAAACTTATTACTGTTATATATAACAATAATGACTTTCAATTCAAAAATAATCAAATAAACTAAAAAAAACAAATGGAAGAACAGTTAATTGTCCTCTCTATTAATAAATTATATGGAGCACGTAAAGTAGAACTTAAACTTCAATTGGAAAAATTTAAAAAGAAAAGAGAGGAGTTAGATTTCTTTCATGCACAATTGAAAGAAATGCTTAAACAAATTAATAAATTAGGTTTAGTTGATGAGTTTAACCAAAACCAGTATTACCAATCAATGAATCTTAAATGCAATAAATCATTACAACATGTAAAAGAAATGATAAATAAAGTTAATAAATTAATAAATGAAATCTATCATGAATTAAATACAATGGCCATTTATATGTATTCATTTAGGAATCGTGATTCGTTTTATGTTGGAATTCAACAACCTACAGTTTCAATACTTAATTTTACTAAAGGTGGTGGTATTTTATCAACTAATAATGTTTTATTAACTAACAACGATTTACCTGATGTTGAAACATTTACTAATTTAATATCTGATAAAGATTTTATACGAGAATTCATTCCTATGACTCATAACAATCATTTTTCACCAGCATTTTCATGTGTTACAAGATATCATAATGATAGTTATATCACTGGAGATATCAACAATCATTCAATTAAATTGATTAGGCTAAGGAAAGATGGAAAAGAATCTGAAGATTTTTCTGTTAAAGTAGAATATCCAACAAGTATTGTAGAATACAAGAATAGTTCAATAATTTATATCACTGATAAACAACTTCATTGTGTACATGTTTTTAATATGATAGAAGGTAGAGGTAAAACATTTGGTGGATACGGAAATGAACCAGGTAAATTTAATGAGCCAATGTGTGTTGCAATTGATTCTTCAGATAGAGTTTATGTTGCTGATGCTATGAATAGCAGAATACAAATATTCACACTTGATGGAACATACTTATCTACGTTAAGTATAGTTAATCAAAGAAAACCATTTTATCCTCATTGCATTCTATTTGATGAAAATGAACTAATTGTAATAGATAATTGGGGAAGTTCTATTTTTACAATTGACCCAAAACAAAAAAAGGTAACTTCTATTATTTCTAGATATGGCGGAGCAAAAGGGCTTGTTAATAGACCAACTTTTGGCTGTATTGATGAGCATGGGAGGTTATTTGTTAGTGACAGTGGAAATAATAGAATCGTTTGTTTTCAAAAAACAACTTTTATTGGTTCTATTGAAATGAGTGAATTAGGGCTAGTTGGTGCACCATTAGGAATCAGTGCCAACTGTAATAAAATTACTTTTTCTACAACAACAAATGAACCTTATTTAAATTCAGTGATGGCTTGGGACCGATATCAGATGAAACTCTAATCTTTGTGTA